GGCTGCCAGCCCTGGCACCAACAGGGCTTTTTTTATTTTCTGATCGTGACCTTCCTTTTCTCCTTGGGAGGTGTCAGGTCGGGGATATCAGGAATCAGCGTGGGATGAGTTTCCTTCGGAGGAAGCCCTCTCCCCGTCTCCTCCCACGGGGCTGGCATCTCGCCCCACTCATCACGCCGAGGAGCACCCTCTCCCCTCGGGCACATCTGGCCAGGTACAGCCGGGCGCAAACCTGCCACCTTGCAGCTGGGTTCTGCTTATTCAGGCTTAGATCCCGGCTCACAGCTTAGCAGGCAGATGTGCAGTGAGGGGTCAGGCACAGAAACAGGTAGGGTGTATAAATCTGGATGGAGTCTGGTCCAGCATCCTCACATTTTGTTCCGATTTCCTTGAGGCTGTACATATTTAACCCTTCCTGTCTGCTCACCTGGTTTCAGCCTGATAGAACTTTCAAAATCTTTGAGATCTTTGGAAACCAGGGAGGAAAAGGAAACGTTCAGGTGAATGATTTTGTGGGAACTTTTGCTGCTAGCCCATTTCACTGCAGCTAAATCAGCTGAGCCCTGTATGGAAACATCCTCCAGACTCGAATCCGAGCCAGGAGAGATAACAAGCCCCACTGCTGAGTGCAGATGCTGCACTGCATCACTCTTATCTCCCAGGCCAGCAAATGCCGCTTTGCTGGTCCTACCCCTCCCTCCAAGCTCAGCGGTCAGACCCCGTAGCTACTACGAGCCTCACCCCAGCCAGGGCAAGGGGCAGAGGAGCTCTGCTGAGCCGGACGGCATCTTTCCTCTGGGTCTCTCCTGTGGTCTTGACTATTGACACACTTATTCATCTTATTCCCTGGCCACCCCTCTCCACCGCTGGCCCCCACAGACATCCTCTGCCCTCCGACACCTGAGTCTGCTCCCTGTTTTTCTCTTGACACATAATTCCAGCTTTTCTGCCTTCTTCTGTTGGAAGAAACGCGTTTCCTCCCGTTTCATCTCGCCCGAGAGGGATCGGGGGTATTGTTCCTGGGATCCCGCAGAAGCCAAAGTGTTCAAAGGGGGATTAGGTGAGTTCGGTGTGGATAGGGCCAGCGTAACTATAAGCAGATGGTCCGGCTACGTCCCCTGCTTGGGGAAGTCCCAATGCCTGTGGCTGCCTGGAGCCCAGAAGGATTAAAAGCCCCAGCCACTCTAAATATAGCCTGATCCTACAAGTATCTGTTACTGACCGTACTCAGAAAGAGCCACGCTGGCCAAACCACCCCAGCTCAGTGCCAAGAGCCAAGGCAGGAGCAGGACACACCTTCGGGACTGAGGGACAATGGGTACCTGGAGTTAAAACTCCAGGGCTAGGTATAGCCAAAGTTTCCCCAATAAAGCAAGACTTCCCTGCAAGGACACGCAGCTTTGGGAAATGGCAGCTCTCCCTAATACATCGCCCGGTCCCGTGGATGTGCTGTGGGGTCCTGGGGACCTGGACCTGCCCTCGACTGCCTGTGCATGGCTATTTCTGTGCAAGGCTCTCCTGCAC